CAGGAGATAGTCCCTGCTCTCTCCATGCACCATCCACTGAGAAGACATACATATATATATAAAACATCAAGTGAAGTAACTAAGATGCTCCCACACGGAGGAATTAATCTGAATTCAGCTTTACTTTTCCAGAGGTAAATTTATTTTCTGGCTTTCTCACAAAGTCAAGAAGCAGATTCTGATTCACTTTCTTTAGCAGCTAAACTGCTCTGTACTTTATTGGCTCACTATGCTTGGGCTTTAGTCACCTGAAATGCTGAGAGTGGGGGAACAGGGGAGAAGTCTCAGAAAACTGTGAACTTTATACCTGCAGCTATAGTTGGCCTTAAGTGAATAGCTCAATGAATTATTGAGTGGTCTGCTTAGGGATTTAGTAGGGCAACAAGAGGACAAAATACTGACCTGCTGCTATACCTGCCACCTCAAAAGAAGGCAGAGCCACTCATGCAATTTAAGAGGAGATTAAGATTTGTAACCTTATCTGTGGATTTGTTTTAAAGTAACATTCAAATCAATCAGGCTGAAGTTTACTACCACTTGTAAGTGGCATTTAAATTAAGCAATTTCTAAACCCAGACAAATTTAGAGAGGAACTTACAGAATTACAGATGCTGTGTTAATTCTATGCTAACCTGTCCCTAAACTTAAAAGGCAAAAGAAGCAAAAAGAAGTCACGAGTTAACCAAAAACCGTTCCTTACACTAAAACTCACCTAAGCTCTGATGCATTATGCTTTTTCTCATTCACAAGAACACTTAAAATGTTCAGGCAACTTGGTACTAAGTAATAGCCATTAAAATATTTAATAAAGTGTTAAGTAAGTGCATCTGTCCCATTTGTAATTAGGAGTGAAGTAGCAGTTTCTGAAGTTAGAATCTACAGCCACAGCAGGTTTAAGAGAGACCTTGTTAGGGACAATAAACCCTGGAGGGGTTATCACTGTAGGGGCTCTCTCAAGTCAGAAAAATACAAATAGCATTAATATGCTCACAAGCCATATAATATTTGGGTACTGGAAGGACACGTACAATTCCATACAACTGTAGAGCAAATTCAAAAGATTATAATCCTCTCTAACACATAATATACACAACTAAGTATACTTTCTAAAATAAGATATGGGATCACATTTTTTGTTTCAAATACATTGATACCTATCAGCCCTTTTAAGGAATTGTTGCCAAATCCAGATTGAACTCTTAGCAATTCCCTTTAGTTAATGCAAAATCAAAATGAGGCACTGCTTCCACAGCTACATGCAATACTCACTGTTCAAAGTTGCACCACATAAAAAGACTTAAGTACATGCTAGTGAACATAACTCTGAAATTTCCTTTACTGGCTTCTTTAGGTGCTTGCCTGAGATTTAAAGAGACAAAAAAATTCTTACTTTTAGTCATGAATTATTATAGCTATTTGATCCAAACAAACTACACAGTGACATGCAAGCTTCTGATAATCCTAATGTTGCACTGATTTTATGTTAAGAACCACAGTCACCAAATTAACAGACTTCAAACTGCAATAACCCGAATTTTCAGCTTAGCTTTATTGATTTTCTTCCTTCCCATTTAGACAGGAAGAAAAATTGTAGAAAGAATCCTACAGAAGAACTCACTCTGATCTTTTGTATTAAAATGCGTCTTCTAACAAGACAATGACAGTTACTGTATGTATTTTAACTGAAGGGCAACTAAGACTACTGTGAAATCAAGCCTCTGTGATGGAATCTTTGTCTACAGCAACACCGACTTCATAGTCAGGTAACTTCTAAGGTAAAAGAGGAGTCACATTTTTTCACATGTAGCCCAACACCTGTAACAAAACAAGCATCAGGACAAAGATTCATTATGTGAAACAGCTGAGGTTAGAAGTGACTTCAACTATTTATGCCCCCAGCATAGCCAATACAAGTAAAGCTTCCAATACAGAAGGGATATTCTTCAAAAGTAAACTGGAAGGAAACACCACATGTATTCTTTATTCTCGCCTAAAAGAAAAAAATACCAAACCAGAAAAACAACTCAGTATTGATGTAGAGGGTGGACTGAACTAAATAATTATATTCCCCCATTATACAGCACAGGTAGAAAGCACAATGGCCTCAGACCATTTCTTAAGTTTGCAACAGCTTGTAGCAAAGGGAGACCAGAGTTGTGCCTGTTATAGGTGAAGTTTCTTCTACCCTCAGTGGGTAGAGCCCTGACTACAAACATTAACATAAAGATAAATTCATTAAAATTCTTCAGTAATTTGACAGTAAATTTAGCATGAATGCTAAGATGTTTTAACAAACTGCCTAACTAGCAATAAGATGAATGTTTCACTAGCAGGAAGTCAAAGCTCTGAATAATTGCAAAAAGATAAACTTAAGATTTTGAGGTTTGGAAATCCATACTCAGAGCTGCCCACATACTCTTAGTATCTAAATCTAGTATTTTTCAGTTAAGCCTTAAATTACACAATTAAGAAATTTTCCTCCATCACAGGAGACCCATCTCATTTTGTAAGACCAAAGTGTACTCTCTGAATGTTTAAGTATGCAAAACTTCATGTTCAGCTTCAAGCTCTATTTGACTTGTATCATCCAGAAGTTATGATTAATAAGGTTCACAGAGAGGTAGAAAAAAATCCTGAAATAGGGAAAATGCAGGTTCAGTGCCTGGTTCCCAAGAACATTTCATTTAAAACATTGTAGGAAATCAGTCAGCAGGGCTTGGTGCAGAGAAATGAATTTTTCCTTTCCAAATCTCCTACTGAGAGGCAGGGTGCAGGGGATTAAAAAAAACCCCCAAAAAACCCAAACAAAAGCCACCCCCACCACTCCCTCCCCCCCGCAATTATTTTCTTTGTCTCTATACTGATTCACAACTCCTTTAGTCTACAACTCTTCCTTCTACTCTTCATTTGCATCCAGATTTTTTTGTTTTCTCTCTATTGGTTCGGAACTACTAAACAAGACATTTCAGTACAAAAGGAAAGGGTATCTTTGTTTTCATTACTAGTGTCCTAGAAGCAGCAGTATCCCCAGCAGGAAGTAATGGCAGGTCAGTGCTCAATGTCATCTGTCCTCAAAGGATCATCTTATCCACTACATGACCAATGTAAATAAAACTTGCAGCTAATTTTGTCTCTTAACAATATTCTCTTCAGCTTCCCCTTTAATCTTGCATGTGTATGTTCATGTGTGGAGTGGCAGGGGGACTGGGAGTGGGGCATGGCAAAGAGAAGTACCACCTCAGATGAACTGGACATAAGTAGGTTTTCACAGTGGTATGAAACAGCACCTGCAACAACTGGCAACTTCACAATGTTTAAAAATCCTTGTTCCAGACTCAAAGGCACAAGTATTTACCAGTATAAAAGTTAAACATTTCAGCTTTCTGGTAACAAGGTAGTAAATTTCAATCCTTAATCATGATTTAAAATTAAGTCCAAGGAACCTTTACTGTAAATTTCACATGAAGAAAAATAGTAATTTTATCATGTCCTAATAGTCAATACACCTGTTGATAAATAACTGCTAGATCATTTACTTACTCAAAGTCTTAAGGCACAGAAATAAAAATGAGGAAATAGCTCAGTTTAAATAGTTTAACACTAGACTCATTACCTACATACATTTTACATGATAATTTTGATAGCTGAACACTTTCAAAAGTTTTTTCTTTCTCTCCCTCCCCCCAAACGATAATCCTTATGTGATTAAATTAAAAAAACAAACAAACAAACAAAAAAACCAACAAACCAAAAAAACACTTCTACAAAATCTAGGGAGAATAGAAGTTTATTGAGTTCTACCTGTCTGAAAAGTGCTGAAGAGTTGCCATTTCATGCTTTGTCTATATAGATAAGTTGAAAGAGAAATTGTTACAAAAATCAGCTCATTTGAAAACTGAGTGTTTCTCCAGAACATCTTACCATTCCTAAGTGAACACAAATGTGAAAATTTCTTTACATGAAGCTAGTCCTTTTCATTTTCAGATGCAACATCTACACTTCAAGTTCCCTCACGACTACTAAAATACTTTCAGGCAGTATTAATATACAGAGAAGCAATTAGTCATATCTTCAAGAACCCAGGTATCCCAGCTCTAAAAGTGCATGATTTAAAACACTGGTAATGGAATATTTTGAAAGAACATTCTTATTCAGTATTAATGCATGCTATTATTACAAAAATACCCATTGCATATTGTAGGAACAAAAATTTTTCTTTTGTAGACAACAAAAATCATGCTGAATGGTATCAGATCAGTATAAATCTATTTTTAATGAGGTTCAAGACACTGTTCAAGTCCCATTAAGAGCAGCTTCCTCCAACTGTGCACCAGTGTAAGCTTGCACAGGTGTTAAAAAAGTTTTGCACTAATGTGGCTTAGACTGGCCTCAAACATCTTCAAAGCAGGGCATTAAGACCGGACCTTGAATTTTAGGAACCATTCATTTAATTCATTTAAATAAAATATTAAAAACCACTGTAAGAATTAGGCATAAAAGCATGTTAACAAATTTAGGCCTAACTAGCAGAACATACAGGTATTTACATAAATGCTAATTTTGCTATGGTCTTTAATATTGAGAAGACATCAGAATGTGGACCATGTGCTCAAAAAAACCCAAAGACCAAACCAAACAAAAACCCTGGGGAAGAGTAATAATAAACCCCATGTCAGCACAACTGCAGAAGTTATAACCCAATATAATGGGTCAACTTGGTTCAATGTGACAACCAGCCACAAATAAACCAGTCCATTTGTAGTCATTTTAGCAACTGGATTTTAAGTTAAACTGCAAGTAATCCACTCCAAGTCAATAGGCTATTTCTACAAAGCAGTTGATGCTACCAATTGTCTAAATGGACGATGAGGAAATACACAGAAAATCCAAGATGAAAGAGCAGACAGAGACATGAAGCATGTTAAAATGATGCAATGAAACAGAGTATATAAATTAAACAGGAATGTTTAATCAAGACAATCCTTTTTTTATTTTTTTTGTTAAACAGAGGTTCTTCAGGAAATTTTTTAATTGGAAAATGAAACCCTATTCCCACAACAGTGAGGCCATTTCTTTCAAGCAGCTCTGTTGTACAACTGTTACCAGGACCCTAAACAATTACAATTGCTGTATATTGATATTTCTGAACTAAAAAGTTTTAAAATATTGTATAGATTTTATTTGTGCTCCACATATTGCAAGCAATTAACAACACGAAGAAAGATTCCTCAGCTAGAATACCAAACTCTATACCAAGTATTACATGTACACAATACTTGCACAGTGACAAGCACAAGAAAGTACTAGTTGAGCACTTGCTTTCAGAAATCCATACCAACTCTTAAAATCCATTTCAATTCTCCCATGCCACCCAGTCTACAATTTAAGGCATCTCCACACAGCCATCCATCCATCTACCCACCCACACCCATACACACAATTTACGTTGGAGGTGTTTACTCTTACAAAAAAAATCACTATGTCAATCAGGTACCATTTATTATTTATCCCTATAACTGTGTCAGCATTGAGATATGACAGTTAAACCAGTGTTAAATCAATACAATATTTACATAGCACAGCACATTAAGCTTGAGACACTCACTTGGGGGATAAAACCACGTTTTAGAACAGGACAAAGGTCACCATTATTATGTTTGAAAACAGCTATTTACAGGTCCCTATGACATAACTATAGTCTGTACACTGTTCCAATGGGGCAGGCAGAAGCAGGATAGGCATTTATTTTGAGGGATTTTAAACATACGATTTGGAAGCATATTAATATGCTACCCTGAACGCCGTAAACCACCTTAACATTCTCCAAGGTGGTCTCATATACTAGAATGGCATGTCCAGCTGATACAAAACAGACAACACAATGTTTACTTTGTGGAGAATTTTTTACTCCAGCTATTCAGTCATTTGAACTTTGAAGGCAATTCGTCCCAGAAACTTGTCACGTTCATCTTCATTTTTTAAATTAGGTGAGCCCAGGATCTTACACTCAATTGCTATTTCTTCTTTGGTACTGTTGGAGTTAATTGCTAGTTGAACAGCCACTAAAGGCTGTAAATAGTGAGCCTAGTAAACAGAAAGATGGGGAAAATATTTGAGATACCAGAGTAAATTAGCATTTAAATTAACATTTAATCCATCAGAACAGTTAAGAAAAAAAGCTAATTAAGAACCCAACTTTTCAAAGCCCAATTTGACTCAGGTAAGACTTTTTTTTCCAAGTTAGATAGTCAGGTACCCATTCTTCATACTATTTCTTAACTAATACATTCAACATAATTTAAGTCACAGACAGTATCTTCAAGAGGCATATGACTTTACCCCTTTCTATTATATTGGGTCCAGTTTTTCTAGACACCTCTACTTGAAACAGTCTCTGAAATTACAGTCTTCCTTCCTATCCAGTCCATTGTCTCTTCTGCTGGTTTTGAGTTTTGGGGGTTTTTTTAATCTGCTATAGAACATAACTTTTCTAGCACAGTTTTAAGTGTTTTTTTGCCAAAAGCACAATTCAACAAATACTAGTAAACTAGCTTCCCTTCCACTCTATACCATTTACTTGTTCAGCAACAATCCATTCTAAAATGCGTTATCTGATTGATAGCTTTACACAGAAACCTTTCCTTGAACATTCTGACAGTATCCTGGTCAATCATATTTGGTGGAACAATTACAATTCTTGACTCCATTCCCTATAATAAAAATTAAAATTTGAGAATGAATGCAAAATTAATTTTTTTTTCAGCCCAATATTATTTCTCAAGTCCAATTCAATTAGGACAACTTGAATTCTCTTGTAAAGTGCCTATGAATTAAATAAGGGCTTATTTATTATACACTGTTAAAGCAGTATATCATCCACTATTCATAAAGTTTTTCCATAAAAATATAAATGTATTTTTAGGGCAATACTGCTGACTGCTGATTAAGCAAAATTATTTATTTCCTTGGCAAAAATTCATGTAAGCCAGTGGACTGTATATGACACTGCAGTATTATACAAATATAAGCCTTAAATTTTAATTGAATAAATTTTGCATTAGATTTTCTTTTTCCTTATTAAGTTAAACTCCTTAATACATTTCTGTTATTTTTAGGCTAATCTCCCCTGCTTCTCTACCAAAGAAAGCACTACAGAATACTCAAAGTCTCATTTACAAAGAATGATGGCATGGAAGCTGATGTGCTAAAATCTTTAATGTGAAGTACTAGTAAGAAGTAGATGGAAATAACCGCTTTCCTTGGATGGTGATTTTAGTACATCAGAAATTTTCCTGTGCTCCTACAGACTTCAAACTGGGAGGGGGAAATGCAGCTAGGCAAAGCACCCTCAAAATTCTCCAGTTATAAGAGTGATACCACACTTGAGGTACTGAGTTTTCTAAAAAACAGAAATAAAATTCCCATCTTTCCTCAGAGAAGTCTTCTCATTGGCAAATTTTTTCAAAATAGGTACACAAACTTCTATGATGCTTTGAAGACACATGATAACAGAATGGACTTTTACTCAATATAAAATTTGGCAGGAGGAAGGAAAAGAATCAGCATCCTCATTAAGCACTACACATCATCTAAAAAAGGCAATGTTCCCCAAGGTCAGGGAGTTGGGCTCATTGTGCTGAGCAGCAAAAGGCAAGTAGCCATTCTGGACCATGGAACTGTAGATATTAGCACTTTTATGGCTCCTACCTTAGCACAAGAGCAGCAAGATTAGTTGAATGCTCTTACCTCCCTTACAGAATAAAGTAATTCAACAATTCCACACTGATATAATATTAAAATGCTGTTTTATAGCCAAGAAATCAATCCAGTCTCCTGAGATCTAGTCAAATACCTCAATCTCTCACAACTCCTCTTACTGCCTCTTCCTTTTCATGATTTACTAATGTTATGAGAATTGAGCCTCACATAAACAAGAATCCCTCAAACCATAGCCCCTATCCCACATACAATGTCAACATGAAAGGACATTGAAACAAAACAAACAAAACAACCTCCCTCCCCCCCCAAAAACCCAAACAAAAATTACATTTATTAAAAAAAAGTAAAGCTTTTTCTTAATCCCGTAAGTCAAGCAAGGAATAGCATTGAGTTTTGCCTGACTTCATTACTCTCCTATCATAATCTTTCCTTTTCCACCAGTATAGCAGCCAGACAGGTATTTTGTCAGGAAAGTTCTTCATCCCATCTTTGGTACCAACTACCTCCTGACATCTCAAGGTCTACTGTGTTTGTTAGGGAAGCAGTGCTCTCTTTCCCTATTCTTACATTACAAGAAGTGGATAGAGTATGCACTGACTCTGCCTGTTGGAAGCACAGGTTGACAGTCTTTCCCTAATCTTGTATGTCTAAGAAAATGGATGGTTTACCAATTCAAAAAGTCTGGCAACAAAATTGAAAACACGGAACTACCCATAAGTAACATGAAGGTAAATGTTGAAGAAAAACAAACTCCTTCCTCATTACTAAAAGCCATGTGAGGATAAACAAAGGTTATGTGAACTGCTGCAAGTAAGTACAGCATACACTGGAAAAATAACTGATAAAGGAATAATTTAGTACAAAAATCACTCTGGGGAAATTACAAACCTCCACTCTGGTATACTATGGATCTAATAGATTTATGTTTAAAAAGTCCTTTTATCTCCAATGGGGAACAGTGAAGATGTTTATTAGACTAATAAGTTGGTCAATAAGAGGCAATATAATTTTATACTTGACAGAAGGTATAGATTTTCTGTATGTAGTTATCACAAGTCGATGCAAGAAAAGAAAAAATAACTAAATTCAAGTTTGAAAAGAAATTGGAGTTTTAACTCTATGTATTCTGTGTCCATAAAGTAGTGAGGTTTGGGGTTTTTTAAAACCTAAGTATTCTTCAATTCGATAAATAAAATTTATGTCAGAATACAATGAGGATACATGGCACAAGCAAAGAAAAACGAAGATAAGAAAATTTAAATTTAAAAAATCATAAAATATTAATAGTTAAAAAAATAAATCTATCTGCTACCTTGAAGTGCTTCTTCATAAAACAGAGTAAACAGAAAACATGACTGCAGAGCCACAAAGAAATATAACCAACAGTACCATAATGAATTGTAAACTTAATATACTATACATAAACCCCAAGGATTAACTGTTAGAAACTGTACTGTAATCCAAAGAACCAGTTTACTTTTCCTGCCTTTCCCTGCATTTAAAAAGATTCCAAAAGGTATCAGTGACCAAAAAGCAGCAGATGCCCTTAATACTGCTAGCATACAACCTCTTCTTCATTAGGACAATGCCCAGTTTATTTGCTTATGTCTGCTAAAGCGTATCTCTAATCTCATCAAGCACTTTGAAATTCCTACATACATAATATGTCTTATGAGTACCTCATTACAAAGTTCAAACTTCAGAATCAATCTTATATTAGTAATTGTAAATGTAAACAGAAACAAAACATTTACAAAATTAAGACCATCATTAAGGTATACTTACATGCAAGCTTTTCCCATAGTATGGAAAGTACATTAAGTCAATCAAGCCTTCAGGAGGAAAATAATTTACCTCAACCATGCCTTCTTCCTGTGATTTGAGATAGCAAAAAAATTAGAAGTTAACACCTGCTTCCATAAAAATGAATACAAAATTATAATTATAACCCAATGATAAAGTGCAAGACCCCTAAAAAAAGGCAACTGAGCTACAAACTCTTAGAATAACTTCCAAAATAGATTTATTTTTGGCAAACAGTTACATGCTGCACACATCTGCTACAGTAAGGATTATTAACAGCAGTATTTAAATTAGTAATCAAGTCAAGACAGCTTGCCTTCATGTTTCCCTTATGAGTCAAAGAAAAGGGGGGGGAGGGGGGGAGGATATTCATTGCAATGAATAATTCAACAACAACCAAAAAAACCCATATATAAGCTAAAATCCCAAGTATCTGCAAGATGTTTTGGTAAAGCAAGAGCACATCTGTATTTCAGTTAAAGTTAAAGATTAATTTCTGTTTAAATCCAGGTTTTTAAGCCTCTCAAATTTGGAACGATACAACCCTTCACAAAGAACTATAGCCCCCTCCCTGCAATGGTGTACTATTCCTAACATTTGTTCAGCTAGCCTTAGAATACAGGCTACCTAAAGGAAACCCAAGTTTAAAATGGTGATGTTACTAGAGTTTCTGTGTGTCATTACCACCTTCAAGGAACAATATACATATGCATGCCTTATCGCTAGACTTCCCCCTATAATCCCAAATCTTGTAATAAGAAGCAGCTACCTCCAAAGTTGCTGCCTAATTTCTGAGTCACCCAATCTGTAAGATATACAAAATATGTATATACGATTGAGCTGTCCCAGACACAGGCTATCAGTATAGCGATACATAGACACATCTCCCCATATACAATATTCCTCAGGATTGTGTATCCTGGCAGGATGTCAAACTACCGCAAGTTCAAACCACTAGGAAATGCCCACATCTAATGTGACTTTCTATAATAAGGTAAACGTATTACCATGATAAAGGGAAATGCCACTAAAACAACCACCCCCAAAATGCTAAATGTATCTTCAGAACATCACTGCTTGTTCAGTGTAATTCACAAGTTCAAAGAGCATTAGTAACTTTCATTGTTTTTTCTATACTACCATATACAACAGCTGCAATTTTAAAAAGATAACACTACCAAGTTCAGAATACAACTGCAGTAATAGAACTAAGCAAAAGAGGAACACAAACATCAAAAAAATAGTGAAGAATAGACCACAGCTCAAGAATACCTTCTCCTCACCTCCTCAAAAGAACATACAATATGTTGTGTAGGATATGACCTCATTCTTGTTCCTCTGCAGTCTAAATTACTGCAATTCTTCAATATATGTTTATTAAGTATTTTGGACCTTGAGCTAGCAAATATAATTAGTAAGTAGAAATGTGTTGCTTTTCACCCTTATTCTTTATTTTATTTAAAGCTCATGCAGCTGAAAATACTCATTTTTCAAATATACTTCCGAACTAACAGTTAAAAAAATCAGAATACAGAATAACATAAGAAAGATTTATAGGAGTAGAGCTTTCTGGAGCAGCTAAACACAACACATGCATGCAGTCATAAATATATATGCATTAGGCTATCAGTGCAATAGCAGAGAGGTTCTGGGACATGCAACTGCCTGTCTCATGCAACTGCTGTGGGGTTTGAGGTTTTCTTTAATAATTTATTAATACTAATCAATAACCCTACACAATTAAAAAAAACAAACACAACAGCTAAACAAGCTTCATTTGCTGAAGAGCTTCAAAAGATCAGTCCATTAGTGAGTGTCACTTTTTCTGCTTACCATTTACAATTTCCACAAAGAGTTGCAGGCAGTCAGCAAATCTAAAAATCAGACCACTTAGCTGGACAGATAGGCTTCCACCTCACTTACTGGGTCTTTATTAAGACTGTGTCTTAGAAAGAATAATTTTGTGGATGTTAAAATAATGTACAAGAACTTGGGTGAGACTGGTCTGTAATCATTTGAGAAGAAGAAATGGTATCATTGCACAAGACAAAGAGCAGTATCCATTAGTAGAAACTGTAAAACATCTAAGATTTCTGTCACAAAAAGCAAGGTAACTCAGATGCTGAGTATGTCGACAATAGCAAGGCACGTAGTGTCATTCATACAGTCATTCTTCATTCTTGTAAACTAGAAAGTGATACCGAGTACAAAGTCAAGATTGAGACTAACCAGCAGAAATCTATATATTTTGGAATTAAGGCTAGTTTTCTTTTCTGTAGTTAAAAAAAAAAAAAAATCACGCATCGAATCTACCAGTTTTCAGTAAAGATAGTTTTCACTCAAAAGAATACTGCTGCAAGATGTTCCAGCACACATGAAATTGTGCACCTCCAGCCCCAAACTAAAGACCTAAAATGCTGATCTTCAAATTTCTTGGAAACACAATCCTTTTTTGGCTTCTTTGTGGAGATCCTCAAGACTACAACAGCTCAGCTCCTCCAGGGTGCAGAAGGAAGAACCAGCTGTAATTAGTCTGACACTGCAAATACTCATTTCCCTAATCTACAGAAATTATAGTGATGACAGCTATCACTGTGTGGGGACAGAGAGGGGAGCATCCCCAACTATCAAGTGTGCTGACTCTGAAATCACAGGTTTATCTAAAATTTTTCTATTTTAAAAAAATCCCATAGTAAAAGTGCAGGGAGAAGAAAGAAGAATTGCCTCACAGGAGAATGCTTGAAAAATATACATTTCCAAGTGAAAAAAAATTACATTTCAGGTGGCAAAGACTGGCAGGATGCACAGACAGAAGCTGTTAACTTTATTTTGTATTTCAGAAACTTGCCCTCTTCGTTAAATAAATAAATAAATAAATAAATTTTCCATTTAAAAGTCAGATTGTGTTAAGTTCAGGCAGACACTTCTCCAAATTGCTCTGAACATATGTATAACTATAAAGAAGAAATATTTAAAAACATAGATGAAGGGGAAAGAAAATTGGTAAACAGCACACCTACCTATTTAAAAAAAAAAAGCCTGCTCTATAATGAAGAGAACATGGTAGTAGGATTTCTGCTCTGCCCAGTAAAATCACCTTTTAAGCAAAAATCCATCTTTGTCACTCAGATGTTAAAGATTTCTGATGTAAAATTTAAAATTACTAGTAAGTTGCATTTGTGCTATGGACTGCACAAATATGCTCACATGTTCTATGAAGCTAATATGTAGTGCAGGGTTTATTTTCAGGAACGTGTGTCACCTGGATTACATTTTGCAGTACACTCTGAATTCTTTTAATCCACATTTGCCGACAGCAACACAGAAGGAAAAAAAAAAAAACCAACAACAACCCAAAACCCAAAACACTGCAACAGAACACATCAATTACTTAAAGACTAGGTAAACACTCTGAATAAGAGAAGCAATACAGACGTACAAATGACCACACTTCAACTTCTGTTATGAGCCAGTATTTGTGGGAACATTCAAATATAGTGGCAGACACAATGCAATTATAAATTTGTCTGCAAAATGCACAAAAGCCTATTGGCTATCCTTCTCCACGTTTCCAGTGTGCACACCAGAGGGTCACAATTCACATCCTTGCATGAACAAGATCCAGAAGACCAACAAGATATTATTTCCAAGTAAGCATTCACCTTATCCACTACAGGAGAGAAAGAGACCATTACACAGCATTCATATCCTGAAGAGTCAAAGAACTAAAAATGGAATTGGAAATAAGGCCTCATAAGCTGATGTAAAGAACAGCATAATCCTTTAAGAGTTTCAATAAGCAAGGGGCATAACAGAAAGAAGTTCTGTAAAAATGAAGCATAGACAAAAGGAGAAAATGAAAGTTGTTGATGCTGCTGCTTTGTTGCCCACAGAGAAGGATGAATTGTACCAATACTTAAGCTTTCCTAAGCTGGTAAATCATGATGAGCTAGGGCGAGAATAGGCTAATTAAAGATAAAATAGATGCATTCAAAGTGGCAAAGCCTGCCAAATATTTTCCCTGGAAGTCACTAAAGAACTAATAAGATTAATAATCTTAAAATTTAAAAACACTACACTTGTGTAGATCAGAGAAATTCTAACTAGATAGAGTAAAAAGCAGTACTTAAATAAAGAGCATGCAAGAAAATACCGTAACATACAGTTTATTTGTAAGTATCTCAAAGGGTAAAAAAGATAGCACAAAAACCCACCACGATCAACCAAGTTGTTACCAAACATTCTTTTGCTAGTGAAATCAGCTAAGAGGATAAGAAAAAGCATTGTCTGTGATTTGCTTAGTATAGCTTTTACCACTGTCTCACAGAGCATCCATATAAGAAAGCTGAAGAAATATAATCATCATAAAATAGGATTACCATCAGTATTTTATAAATCACTTGAACATTAGTTCTCAACACATCACAAAGCATATGAGGTGGAAATGGAGATGACTGTCCTGGACCTTATTCAGTGTCTTCAGTGAGGACTTGTGAGATGTAAAAGAAAGTTCATTCATTGATGGTACCAAGCCACAAGTAGCTCAAAACACTTCAGAGAACTCAATCCCATTAAAATGATCAAGAAAAATTACACAGGGAGGCCAAAAATAGCAACATGAAATTCAAAGCTCTGAACTTCAAGAAATCACATCTACAAATACAGACTGGGAAATAACCAAAAGAAAGATCTAAATAGTAAAATGATTAAAATAAAGACTCAATGTATTACAAACGGCAAATTCACCTCAAGAGATATTATTACTTCCATTGTGATGACAGAGTGAAAAATTCTGTCATTAACAATACCTCAGCTAGAGGCAAACTTCTGTCCAGTTTGGGATACTATATTACGAAAAATGATAAACTAGAGAAGTCAAAGAAGAAAGAGTACTAGTAAAAGAAGGAACTTAATTGCTTTATTCTAAAGCATAAATAATTCCTCCAACAAAACAACATTTTTTAAGAACAGACACAAAGAAATCAGTCTCAAATAATAGAAGGAATCACCTTCCCTTTCAACGGACTGTCATAGGGAGACCAAAACTTTCAAAGACTCCACAAAAATCAAGTATTAAAATTTATGCCTACCACAGGTACCTAGGATGAAGGCAGGAACACTGACAGTATTTGTCTCATTAATTGCTGAAATTTCCCAGCCTACATTTTTATCAGTTACCTCAAGCTAAAAGCCATGACTCCATCCCTTACTCAAGCTACTAACTTACCAAGGCTTTCACTGCCCCCCCAAGCAGTCTAGGAAAAATATGAAGACGTCAAAGTAATCACTGTAGCTGCCATATAACATTCTGTGTAAATCCATTGGAACACAACAAATATGCATAGATTAGCCGTTATTATAAGTAGTTTATACTTGATTTGAAGGCAACTTTTACTTGAACAGTAATATTAGTTTCCACACTGTGTCTTACCCATCATTTATAAAATTGTCTTAGGTGCACTTGCAGCATGGAGAAAAAATAAAAATATAGGTTATGAAATGGGAAAACAAAACACAACTCACAATAAATAAATAAATGTGACCACAAATAACATGTCTGCATTTTCCTTGACTCTAAAGCAAGTCAGGTAGCTCAAACACATCTAAAGATGAAAGAACAACAATAACAAAAAAGTATTTTTATAAGTACATTGAAGAAATTAAAGTCACTAAAACTAAACTAGACATACAGTAAGATGAAAATGAGAAAAAAAAAAGTACAAAGTCTAATGAGAAAGGAGGAGTGTGAAATACATGTTCTGACACAGCATATTACTTCACTTTTCATTCTAATCACAAGGAAAATTAACTGCACACTTATTTCTTACATTCAGAACTGACCTTAGAGGTACACTGTATACGTGGTTCTCCTTCAGGCTTTAATCCAATTATCTAGTGGAGAGAAAGTTAAAATATTTATAGACTTTCTTCCCCTTTCCAGTTCTACAGACTGAATTTGAACTTTTCTCCCACCTAATATGACAGAGTTCATACAGGGAGCAAATCCATCTAGCGGCATTTTTAGATGAAGCACAATTTTAGACTAGGACTAAGATTTAAAGCATTGTTAAGTTAAAGCTCAAATAGTTACAGTGGCCACAGAAAGGACGATTTTCTTATTTTACATTCAGCATGCAACATTAATGGCTCAAACCAGTCAGCAGTTCAAGTAATGTATAGCATACAGAAAAGTCAAATACTTATTCACCCAGTGAAGTTTTCATCACCTCACATAGTTCGGGAGTTACAGAATACATTACATTCGAATTACATTTCTAGAACTCAGACATGCAGTAAAACACACTTTGCCTGCACAGTGGTTTACAGTCTGTTACATAGAACAGTAAGCAAAACCAAAGAGCACTGTACTTCTTAAAACAAGGTTTTCACATATTTTGATGCAAGTAATCAAAGCCAATACTTGTAAGTATTAGAATGCTCAAAAAGCTCACATGAATTGCTAGACATTTCAGTAAATTACACTGTTCCAGAAATGCAAGTATCTTGAGAAGCAAACTGGACACATATTTCCGTCCTTTTCTACAGTCATTTTTCATACAGTGGTAGTTGGGAGCACTTACACTAAGAATTAAAAAATAAGTAGGCACTTACTCTGTTCATTTTCACAAGCACGCAGGGAGTTCCTTTAGAATAGCCAAAGGTCTTGTCTTCCTTTCCAGAGCATTGTCCAAGCTCAGAGAGGTTAAATCGACAGGCCTTTTTAACAGCAACATCATTCTGATCAAAAATCCTTCCTGGTGTACAGTTTACGTTTTGGGATTGCTTTGAATCATCATATGCTATGAAACAGAAATAGCTTATAAATCAATGGTGTAAAGCATACAAGTAGCCAAAAAATGCAGAAGCCTACATAAACATCTAATTTATAGCTGTTACTTGCCTAGGAGTTTTCTCAAAGGACTATTTTCAGAGCACTATGTCTCTTATATCCATCTTAACAAACACTTTTTCAAAGTGTATCAAGAAGTGGCACTGTACTTGAGCATTACAAAAGAAAAAACGCTGTCCTGCTTTTTGAATAGTATCAATAACCACAAGTTCATTAATTTCTGTACCTACACTAATTCTAAACTAATAATGTGTTAAAATATAAACAATCAAGTTTCTACCTGGAAACTAAACCAGTTTTCCCTTTGCACATGTTTCTTTTATAAACACACAGGAAAACTTCAAGTATTTCAGTGACTAATGCTAAATTGCCTCTACATTAACATCAGGTAGTATAACTGATGTTATACTAACATCCCGAGTTGTTTCTCACTTTCTTGTGTTTCACAATTACACAGATCACATTGTCAAAAGATGCTCATCTATTCACATTTAACACATCTTGTGGTTTTGTTCCCCTCCCTTACACCCCACCCCCAGCTATGCATAAACAAAGTAAAATGGAAAAAGGGAAAGTTCATCCTCAATGCAAAAGTCCAAAACCCACTGAAATGCAGGAGAGGCAGGTAATCATGAAATGCAGCATTCCTCCCAGGAACCCTTGGTAGAGCTCTGAAAGAAAAGCCTACTGACAGCAGCTGATAGTAGGCAGCAAAACTACAAATCCAGATAGATTCAAGTATAGCTTGTGTAGCTAACAAAGCAACTCATGCACACAGGTGAGATTTTACAGCACCTCTTCAATTCTGATATACAACTTTTGAGGGGTTAAACTTACTAATATTTTAAATTGATTTCTGTATTACTACAGTAAGTGTACATACAGGCATATTTATAAAATAATGTATGACAAACTAATGATTTTGCCATCCTTCAGTCTGGTCCTGTGTTACCTTTTCTCCATGTTCTAAATTCAATGTTTTAATATTTCTGCCCATAAATACTGTGTATCAGGGTGAAAGTTAATAAATTGCAATTAATTTAATCTTTGTGTGCCTCATTTTTTAAACAGGCAAACACTCAAGTTCTTAAGACTAAAGGATTCTCACTCAGTTACCAAGCCATTTAGATGAAAGACTGATCAGTTAAGTCTTGATAAACTTTGCCTCCAAATACATGACGTAGGTCATTTTACACTGAACTCTTTTGGCATACGTAATTTCTACATCTTGTAGTATTTAAACAACCATGTCACCAAAACACTGAAGTAGGACCCAAAACTCTCCATTACGTACTCCACTATTCCTCATGCTCAGGCTCCCTGTCCAACACAGGTATCGCTACTTACCTTTTTCTGTAAAGTATATACTTTAATAACACACATGTCCAGAGTAAGCCTGAACTTGCATGAGCAATTGGCAACTACAAGCAAAAAAGGAAACTAATGTACTCAGCATTAAGACTCTGGAATTACTTGGGCAGTTGTAAGTAACTTACTTACATTCAAGGAATTTTCTAAGTGTAGAAATATATTCTGCGTATGACTGCGCGTCACTCTTGTTAAAGTAAAATTCCAACGCAGTGTCTGGCTTTGGTGAAATCATAAGTCCTTAAAAAGAAAAAGTGCAAGTAAAGAACCAAACAACTTCTCTTCCTTACACCACTCTAACCTACTCAAAAATCATATCCATAAACTGGAAAATACCTATCTGTAAAGAAACATCAATGCTACCCCTATATTCCACAGTACTGGAAGGTAGTTTGTGCTTGAAGGCAGTCATCAAAATCAACGTTACGTGAATTAATACTTAAATTCAATCCAATGTATAACTGCAATTCACAAACCAAACCCAACTGATTAGGAATAGCAAAATCAGCCACTTAATCAATTTCAATCAAATAATTTTACTGATTCGCTTCCCACTTCCCATATTCAGCAAATTAAACTTAAAAAATAATTGAAAAAAATACCCCAAACCACACCCAGAAAACCTCCAGTTAAAACTATGCTTCAAAGCTTCAGGCAATAGAGCGAATCTATGATTGCATTAATCTCATAGAAACCCACAAGAAACAAAGTATTTTTAAAAACTTTATAATGCATAAAGATGGCTTGAAAGATTTCTCAATCAAAACAGACAAGCCAAGTTAGTTAGTCTTTTCCTCCTTCTCCTCAAACAGGAAGTTCAGATGTCATCTGTCTCATAGAGAATACAAGAAACTTTAAAACACTGCATGCCTGTCATTTGAAAGGGCTGTGGTATCTACGAACGCTCCTGAGCTGCCTCCCAGGCTGCTAGCACCGGGCACTGCAGCAGTCAGGGATCCCCCGGCTGCTGCAGTGCAGTGGGGGCCCACGGCTGGCTTCATTCAGCTGCTGGCTGAGGGTACTGGAACAGAAACAATCTACAGCCAGGGAGCCAGGACCAGCAGGAGAAACAAGCACACAGAATGCTGAAGTCCAGCTTTGTGTTGAAGGATAAAAAGGCACACACTGACACGGAGTTTGGGCCCTTGATAGAGGTAAACTGTCCTTCTTCACAGAATATGGGCAAAGAAAGGTATAGAGTTAAACCTTAGGGATTTTTTTGTAGCAGGTGAAAGCAAAAGGCACACTCTGCTGATACACACAGCACTGTACCATCAGGAGTTGTCACTAACAGAGATACCTAACGCTACTATTATTCATCACAGCTTCAGCAGCAGACAAAATAGCACTACACCACCAGACACTGCAGGAGAGATTAAATCTGTTCAAAAAAGGGTGTATGATTGACTGCTTTATTCACACTACCTTAAGGCAACTCTTATTTAATATAAATAATTAGACCGGATAAAAACCCTGCAGTTGTGATTAATAGATGAGTGTCCATGCATCTGTCTCTTCAAGTATAGCTGAGAACTGACACTGCCATTTCACAAAAGAAAAAAACCCAAACAACAGACCCTCAGCCTATTTTTTTATCAGACTAGTTTTCTAAGTTAGAATATTAAAATGGTTTGATCAACATCAAATTTGGCATAAGGGAAGAAGTTGCAATCATAGTGCCAACTAATTGTATCAGCTTAGAATGCCATGTAGTTTCCTACCCTCTGGCAAAACCAATTAAAACTAGATTCCCAAATGAATAAAATTTAAGGCAGAAAACAAAACTCATCTCCCAAAATCAAAAAATAAAAATGAAGTCACACCTTCTTTATACAAAAAAAACATTTAAGAAGGTAAGACTACAGTGGGAAGATAAAGTCGGATAAGTTGTCTTAATGTTGGATTCTTAGTACATTACTGTAGTTAATCAATCACAGTAAACTTTTGGAAAGCATATAGAAAGTGCAATCGAGCAGTCCAGGTCTATTAAGGATTCACCTATAGAAATGACCAAGCTTCTCACCCAAAGGTAGAAATTATTACAAATACTTTAAATTGGGGAGAAAATAAAGGTATATAGCAGAAATTTATCACAGACAAACATCTTTTAGATTCTAAAAAAAAACCCCAGATAAAATGTAATGCTTTTTTACTCTACCTTTTTTGTAGGATTTCCAATAAATCATAAATCCTTCTTTCTGCATTAGCAGCAGTTAAATTATTTCCAGGCAAGCCACAACTAAATGCCTTAATGACTGACAGTCCATATAAAACTACAAATACCATTTTTGACTGCAAATTACTTTGCACCATTACAGTCATCTTCTGGCCTCCACACTGAACTGGGATTCAACAAAATACAAGCCAATTAGTAACAGGGCTGAAAAATCACTGAAGCGGTTTTACACACTAAGGGGTTTGGGGGTGGAAGAGATTGTTATTATCTATAGAATTATACTGTAAATGAAGGACTTAAAATGCTGGTTTTCAAAGTGAATATGATAAACTAAACTAGTCATCAATGAATGAAACAATAATTTGAAGAGATTTATTGCTTCAGGGGAACTTCAAAAACATCCTAAGAGGAAGGGACTGCTCCAATTCCAGTGGATCACAGTCTTCCTAGAGACTATGGTGTAAATTCTACAGAAAAAGCTATGTGAAGGACTGATGCATAGACTGCGAGAGATGCAGGATTTGGGCTCTTCCAGAGGAACAGAATTAGCAGCTTCAACATAGGATCATATCTAGGATTGTAATAGAGATTACATTATCCTACAATTCCAAGAGGGATTTAAAAAAAAAAGGTTTTTGAATCATCTGGATTTGATTGATACTATTATAACCCAGTGTACAATGCAAGTCAAATATCAATTATAAAATAAATCAACTGTGAGATTTCCAAGTATGTGTAACGCAAGAGTAAAACCTTTGACCTACGCCATCCAGGTTTTGTGTGTAGAGTTTTTTTTATAATTTAAAGTTTTACAGCCAGGAACATGACATGTTTCACTGCAAGTGAAAAATGACAGAGTTAAAGAAAAACATTAAAACAGAAATGAGCAATTTTATTAACTTTCATGTATGAGTAATTAAAGACATTGTTAATAAAAAAAATTTAATTCAGAAATGTTATAGGAACTCTTAAATTAAAAACTAATTGTGGCATACTTTTTTAAACAAACATCCCTTATGACTTATTTCAAAACAAAGGAAAATTAATATGCTGAACTGCGAGAGGCACGAGAGAAAAAATGTCACTCAAGTCTAGTATTAAGTCACAGCTACCCATAGCTCCATCCACTACCAAGGTTCTGACTACCACAAAGGAAATGGGGAGAAATGGTCAACTAAGCCACCTTCTTTTTTTTCTTTTTTTTTTTTAAACTAAGCAGGTATTATTATTATTTTTTCCAGCCTTTCACCCATTCTTAGCTTGAAAAAAAACCAGCACAAATCCTCAAGAATCCCTTATAAGAGGAGGACACTTGTTAAAGAAGGCCTGAACACTGCATCAAAACAAATTCTGCTCAGAATCCAGAGACATTTATCATGTTGGCCCAACTGCAACTTGCTCACACAAAGATTACTATACCATCTTAAGTGTTGATGCAGCTGCAAGATGCCAGTTAATTTTAAGAATTTAGAGTTCAAAAAAAGGAAAAAGTATTTTTTAAAAAAAGTCTAACTTCCACCAAAATATTAATATTGCACAGCCATTTAGTTTTGCTGTGTTTTAAACACTAATTGGGTCCCTAAGCCAAGTTATTATAAAATTTGAGATATTTTATCAAATTTTCAGGTGGCCCAATCATTTAAGTTGCACATACAAATCAAATACTTAAGACATTCTCCAGAAGCAGTAACTAGAAAACACTAATCTCTCTGGTGTAGTTAAAGTATGCAAAAGCATCTTTTAAATCCTTCAGAGTGAAAATCCTTTATTTTTTTCCAATATGGAGATACACCGAAATAGAGCCTATAATGACAGATCTTTGTGAAATATTTAAACCAACCTTTAAAATAAAATCTAAAAAGTAAAAAAAAAGAAGGAAAAAATTTAAAAAAACAAAACAAAAAAAACTTATTATTAATTTTTATTTGTGCAGGACGGCATTTCTGTCACATATAGCTCCTTGAACCACCCAACCGTAGGAGTGGATGGGCATATACACAAAGGAAGCAATACTTCCAGGAAGCAGGACACCACTTTTAGTGGCAGCTACATGTTACATGGACTTAGCTTTTTCATAAAACAGGACACTCTCTCTTCAGTGAATACTTACATAATAGGTCAACAACCCCTGGAATCCACAGATATTCCATGTCAGTTGAAAGCTATCTAATACTATAATGAACACTCTGGAAATGCCTTCGTATCATAGTCCTTACACATTCTTGAGCAGATCACCTCCACAGTACAGCCTTCCTGTACTTTCTCCAAAGTATCAACTACTAATCACAGGCAGCCTTCCATGTGATCCGAGAGAACTGTTTTATAGTATCTTTAAAGCAATCTGATTAAAAGATAATCCCACTTCTACAACAGCACATTGTGTGGATGTGCAGGTAAAATTGCAGTCTACATACATGACAAATTCAACTGAAAAGAACTTGGAGAAACAACAGCAAAAGTTAGTACATACATACAAAAAGCTACTAACTGAATTTATGTTATAAACATATATAACTTGCCTCACACCAAGTTTTACCTTTGAAACCTGTAAGTACTTCAATAACAACCACAGTTTCCCACAGACAGTTCATACTTCAAACAAACTCTCAAATGAAACGTACTGTTAAATCAGACAGAGGTTTATGAAAAAATAAATACACTGTTACCTGGACTAGAAATCCGGTCACGATATTTTGGAATATCGCTGCTCAGTGTTTGAAGCATAACCCACATTGTGAATGTGAAGAGTGCTGCTAGGAAGCCGTAAAATACCAGATAGAATAGTAAGATCAAACCTGTAAAGAAAAAGCTAAAATTACTATTTTAGTTTCAGCTAATTCCACTACCTATTTTGAAAATCAAAATGGGAAATAAGCAATAAGATGTTTGGGTTTTTGTTCTCCCCTAATCCCTTGCCACTCCTAATTGTAGTTATAAATCAATATGCCTCTAGCATACATATCTATTGCACAGTGCACAATACTGCCTGCAAAAACATTTTATTCATACTTGCTGGCTCTTCAAATTTACAGGACATTTTGGCATCTCTATTTTTAGGAGAGAAGCATTAAAAACCACTCTTTGGGCTACATAGGAAAGCTGGCAAAGATGACTAAACAGTCCATTTAAAAAAAATAGTTTCACTTGTTTAAGGGAAATACAGTTTCGTATCTGGAAAGAAAGGGGACACAGGAAGGACGAAAGAACTGAGTGAAAAGATAAAATTATTACACTGGATCCAGAACAGGTAGGGAGGGATTGGTGCTTTAATAACATAGTTGATATTTGAGAGACCTCCACACAGAGAATTCATTCACACGAACGTCCTGTTACAAGAGACTACTCAAGGTGAAAATGCTTCCTGCTGCCTATTTTGGAAAACAAACCAAGCCTTCTATTCAGACTTACCACAAGTCTTTGCCTAACACATCCACCTGCTTTACCAATCTACCTCCGGGACCCAGCAATGTTCCTGGAATTCACCAATTACACACGTTTCTAGCTTCAACTTGACAGTTGCTTAAAGAAGAACTCAAAACCTGATGAAACAGCCTCGAGGAAACAGCCTCAAGGAAACAGCCTATTACGATGCTGTACCTCTCCATCACTTAGCTGCAACAAATCACTAAGTGAGAACACTACTTAGGAAAACAGCTTGAAAACTTACTGTGATGAAGTGTGTTTATTTTTTCCCCTGTTCTTCCACCCCACCCCCATTTTTTATTATGCATGCACTCTGGATACACAGATCCGTTGTTTGCTGTTGGTAACGGACAGGCCAAAGTTAAAATCTTACTTTAGAGATGATATGGACTCAGATCACCTGCAGAGATTTTCGAAGAACTTTCTGCCCTTTTTTTCAGAGTTATGATGCATAGCCCTCATTCAAAAGCCTTTCAAAATTTGGGACAGCTCAATTGTTTTAGTAAATAAGTTTTCAAACAAGGTTTTGTATTCTTGCACTATGTGGTTTTTGACGCTGATAGACCTGTGTTAGTGTATCTCATTAAAGAAATAACAGCATACTGTTTGCTACACTTCCTTGGTTTTGTTTTCAGAAGTTCTGAGAGTATGTACTGATGACTGATTACTATTAGATTACCTTTTAAAATTTACATTTACCTGGAGACAGTTCCCAACTGAAGATGAAGCATATATACTATATGGATGGAAGACTTACTAAAAAACATTTAAGATTCAACAGAAATTGTTTTATTAATCAAGTATACAATACTAACCTAAAAAAAAAAAAAGAGCGTGTGATTCTGTTTTAAGACTGAACACTTGAGACTTAAGGACACATGCATAGACATTGTCAAAAAGAATGAGAGCTACACAAATATTGAGGAATTCAGATGCTTGCACAGAGAGCCACATTCAAAAGCTTTCTAATTCAAAAACATAACCGAACAATGATGGAAATTCAATTTTTATAAAATAGTCAAGCTATCAGGAAGCCAGAGAGATATAACTCAGGTCAAGAAAAGCACATCGAAACCATTATGCAACATTCTACGACCAACACTTGATTATATGAGAGAATCAAGTGCAGTATTTTTCACCCTTCCATAGAAAAGGAAAAAGCAAAAGCAAAAATGACTGTACCCCAGTGATGCATACTGTCCACTGGAAGATGACAGAAGGAAGCCTAACCCCTGGCTCCTGTCCCAGAAACTGAACATTTTGCACTGAAATATTTTCTAGTGTACTACAGCCCCCAGTAAACCATGACCACTAAAGCTGCAAGTACCCATATTACCTCTCCTAAAAGAATTCAGTGTACATATATTAAAATAATGAGGTGGTTCCCAAATTATCTTTACCATAACATAAGTTCTCTGCAGCAACCAGCTAAATGTTACTGGATTTTGGTTTGGGTTTAGTTTTCAATTTCATATGTTGAGAAAGTTACCAATCTGCAATAATCTGAAAGTGATCAGCTCTTTAAAATACATTTGGGAACCACTGAGATGTAAGATACAACGCAGTGATTAGACATTAAGTAGCAAAGTATGTGAACACAAGAACAGGCTTACTCTATAATGAACAAGACAGCTAGATATGTATTATAAACTGTTTCTAAGGCTATTTAGAAGCTGAAAAGAGCACATAAAAACAAGTATTAGAAATCCTAATCAACAAAAGCCATTATGGAAGTTGCATCTGTATTTGGCACACCAGCAATATGCTTTACCTATAAGCTCACAATTACTTTAACTGGATCCAAAACAGAACAATGAACTTCTGATTAATACCCAATGTATTTTGGGTATCACAAAACCAACCAAACAAAAAAACTCCCTTACAAAACCTTTGGTCAGCTCTCATTTTGATTCCTACGATTTAAACAATTATTGAATACACATTCGTCAAGCTGTCTAAAAAGTCCTTTTTCCATCAAGTGAGCAAGACATTCATCAATCAGTTCCAATGGAACAGAAAAAAAAGTTTGACATTTAAGACAAGACAAGCACCTTCTGTGGCAATTAACATAAAAGCAAGAAAGTCAGGGAAATCTTTTTTCATTGAGCTGTTTCAGAATACATTTGTATTTTAATTTCCAAAAGATGACACATAACTTCACCAGATAAAAAACAAAAAAATCCCTGCCCACTTGTTTATTACTGATGGGCATAACAGCAGCATGGTGGTGTACACAGCACTTAGTACTGCTTTGGGCCAATACTACTGTAACATCTGCAATACTGGCCTTGGGCCTCATTTTAAAGCACCCTGAATTGCTGATCCAAGCCTGCTGCAGCTCTCTTCCTTTGCTCCCTCAGTCGAGCCAATGGTGCCTACCCACTTACACAGCCTCTCCACTCCAGCAGGGACGGGGGCTGCTGGGGTCCCCCTCCTCTGCCAAGAGCTGCAGCAGGGCAGAACTGCTAGTGTAGGCAGTCCCTGGGGAGTCCTCAGGCCCACAGAGGGAGTGCCAACAGTGGGGACAACGAGAGGGACCCCAACGTCTAAAACCCAGCAGTCGACTCCGCAATGGAGACTGCAGCGTGAACAGTTGCTTACGGCGTCCTTGTCCCTCCCAGCAACATCACATCCACCAGGGCTGCAGCAGTAACAAGGCTAGAAAGACTTTCTATTCACAGCCCTGAAACTCCACTAACCTCCCCAGTCCAGCAAAGTGCGCATGTGTGCACACACACAGAGATTATTTTTAATCTTTATTTTACTATGGCCTGTAAATGCGCTGCAGAACACCAACCATTAGACTAAGCTGCCCCATTTATGCTACTTTGCCACGTTAAAAAGAGGGAAAAAACAAACAACAAAAAACCCCTCTGCAACTTCCAACAGCCCAAAACTGAGTAAGCTGCTCTTTGTGAGCCTATTAGTATTAATTATCCTAAGCTAATCACAGTGAACAAGCCATAACCTGTCAAGAAGCTCTGCCAAAATAATTTCACATAACACTGGATTTCTTGTCAGGAAACAAGATGTACCCAAGTAACAGTGGAAAGCTATCCTCCACATTTACTCCAAGGAAAATACAGCTACCACATCTAAAATGAAACTCGATTCAAACGTTGCAGAACATCTTGCTACACCAAACCCTTCGAGTCTCTCGGTCTTTGACACTAAAACTATCACACAAGGAAAACTATCAAACCCAAAATTCTGCATTACAATTTACCTAGTTGTTTTGTTTGTTTTGTTTTTCTTTTTTGCAGGGCATCACAGTACCAAAACCCTTTCATATCTTAACCACATGGATAAGCCACAGTCAAATCTGGAAACCTACTATTTCTGAACCAACATGTTGGTGCCATCATTAATTGGAGTTCATTTGCAGGGATCAAAACACTTCTCCGTGATCAAAACCAAAATTTCTGACTCTGGTGAATGCAAAAAATATCATGTACCTGACCATCATTACCATGATGAATACAAGCTTTCCAAACTTTACATGGCAGAAGTGATTAAAAGCATGTCAATCTGGCTTAAATCAGATTGGCAGATCTACCTACATGTAATACATCGGTAGATATATACAGGTATCAATATAAACACTCTCACAACAGACATGGAAGCATTTACTCAACATCATCTGCAACAATGAAAACGAAATGCTGTCTTTATGGTTTGTTGGACTCCATGCTGCATTGATCCTATCACCTGCATGATCATTCTTCAGTATCTTTAACAAGTGGGATTTAGATACTTAAGTAATGTTAGTAGTGACCACCACCAATGCCAGCAACATCAAGAAGGATTTTTGGTCCACCTGCAGATGGATTTCTTTGCCTTAAGCTAACATAACTATACATACTAGATAAGCACTAATCATGTTTCAACTTTATTCCCTAAACACTTAAGAATTACTGTTTTCCAAATTTTGGGGAAGGAGAGGAAGAAAGAGGGAAGGAAGACTTCAGGAAGAAATAAAACCTTGGTCCTGTGTTACTACTATTTATTTCACAGTAAGCCAGGGCTCCACATATAACATGGCTAAACACTTCAGGAGACAATAAAAATTGTCACATGCAACACTTGCAAAGAATCACAAAAGCCAGCACTTAATGTCATGATTAACCATTTACAACACAAAAAAGCCCAACCCCCCCCCCAAATACCCTCACTGTACCACCAGAGCTTACTGATACCTGCAACAAGAGAAGGCATGCCTTCAGAGTGATCTGTGTCATGGAAAATAAAATATTCTACTGATTTCTCAAATATTCATTTCTTACGATAGGCAGTATCATGGAAAAGTTTAGTAAGATTTTTGACTGCAGTCATATTCCTGGCTGTGCAGGGTTTTTTTACATTAACTGTCCATCTGCCACAAAACAAAAAAAGAGCAGTGTGTGTCTCTCCAATTCACAACTTGGATGTGGAAGTGCTTCTACTGCAATGGCAGACAGTGATGCCAGAATGTTTAATATTACACTACCTGTGAAGAAAGCTAAATCACAACAAAATCCTGCTCAAAACGCTGATAAAGAACACAGAATAATCAAGTCAGAAAAGCAGTTAAAACTTTGACAGCACTGTATGCCCCAGCAAGAACTCAGTGAAGACTAAACAGAAGCAAAACTGGATCTTTTGTTACGGTGACCGACAAGACTGTATATCCATTGACATGGTGGAAAGCCTTCCTAAAAATAAGGTGTTGGGGTTTGTTGTAGGACTTTTTGTGGGTTTTTGTTTTGTTTTTTTTTAATTTCAAGCACTTATTTATGCACTGAAGGATACAAATAAGCGTTTAAAATAATATTCAGTAGGTCCAAATTTCTACGTACTTTAAGAAAACTCCACCTCTACCTTGAACACCCTGACATAACTAGCTTTACAGAAAGGCTTAAATACGCTTGGCATGACATCTAACGTGACCGTAAATGAAGTATTGCTAGACTCTATATTGCCTTTTTTGACACAAATTATTTTTCTGTATCCCTGTGTAAAAAGAGTTTACTGTCTATATTGTATGATTATGCACATATTTGAGTGTTTAGTGAGCACTGCATTACAATACTTTCACGATGATCTCACTCTGTTCTTGCTAAATTACAGGCAAATAAAGGCACAGCACCTTGCCATTACAGGCAGAGCCAGATGCTAGTCTTCCTTTTACTTACAGGAAGGCCCCACATGGCAGTCTTGCAAGTTCTCCTTTCTTTGCCCTACCTGATTAAAACCTGTGTGGAACCCCAGGACTGACCCTTCTTCCCATCACCTCTGTGAGGAGTATTAGTGCCCCTTATGCCTTCTTGCTGAGAACACCACCAACTTAAGTCATCAACAGTTTTTTCCAGTATTTTCTCTCTCTTTAATACAACAAAGTATTATGCCAGATAACAAAAAATATAAGGGGGCGGTGGGTTAGATTTGGATATCGATTTGTGAAAAATTAAAATTGAATTATACCTCAAGTCCACAAAAAGTAAAGTAAAAATCTCTCATTTTTTACAGCAAGAGAAGACTTAGTACAGTGTTTCTACCAAACTGTAAAAGGTGACTCTTTACCAAACTCTAAAAGGCACCATAACTCTGTTAGATGACAAATGAGTCTAAGAGCTGCTTGTGTTTGATCTTTTCACAAATCCTGGCGTAGAAATGGCAGATGAAGATGAGTACTCCAATGCCACAGCACTCAGTCACAGAGAATCACTGCCTTGCAGTTAGAATTTACATAAGCCCCAAGAACTGTCTCAAGACTAGGGCAAAACATGCACATACTGTAAATAATTATTTAACAGTTTCTCTACTGCTTCTGTCTCATTTCTGTGAGGAAGTTGTCTTGAGACAAGAGAAGTATGCATGGAAGAACCAGAGCCAGCTGAATTCTTATCATGCTGCCCCTGGAGACACCAAAGCTGAGCAGACTGGCAACCAGAGCTTTCTTCTCCTACCTCCCCGCCTTTCAGACAGGAGACCAGCAACAGAAAAGGAACAATAGTCAGTGAGACTAGTCCAAGCTCACATCAGCACAGCAAGGGCAGAAGTGACACCAAACCCTGCATGTTCTTCTGTGCCGACAGAGCCATTAAATTAGTGTTCTGCAATTAAAAAAATTAAAACCAAACAGAAAGCCACATGCCACCCCCCAAAACAGTCAAAAACTATAATTTACTTTATATATATATAATTAAATAAGTACAATGTGTTAATCACAAAATGCCAGGACAAATAAATTTTGACAAAAAAATACACCAACAGTTTACAGTGCTGCTGACTAGTCATCTTTTAATGTCCAGGCTAAGCAAAAGTTACACAGCACTAAGGACATACCAATCACCTAAACCACTTAAGAAAGCGAAAGTTGTTTCAACTTGACTTCTTTTAAAAAGTTACAAGCTATTTCTAATGTGCCCACAGTCTTTGTGCTCGTCAGATTCATGACAGACTTCTGCAATCCATACACCCGTTCCTCCAGCCCACGCACTTGAGGAACCTGCCTGTACAGAAAGATCACTAGACAACAGCATAGTGGAAATTTCCTCTCCTTTGCTATTCAACTGGCAGAGTAGCTCGCAAGCTCTTATTTCCATCTGAATGGAGGAGAACTCACATCGGAGCTAGGGCCCTCTTTTGATAGACAGGAGACATTGGCACTGCAAAGAAAGCACACCCCATGCATAGTCTGCTCAAGGCTCCTCCTCACTATTTCAACATTAGTATTCATTGAGATTGTGTCAAGGCCAAGGATGTATTGGCCTGGTCCTTTATGCCACGCTGAGATTCTTGTTGGTTTTGTAAGCACAACTATTAAGTATCCCGACTACATCCAAGTTTTGGGAGGAGACGCAGCGTTTTCTGAAGTCAGTAAATATGTCCCATGAGGACTGAAGAAACATCCTAATATTAAGCATTTATACAATGGTTTAATATGAGAAAACATACTCAGAAAATCCAAATATTTTTATTGGAAGCAACAAGATTATGATAACATGCTTTCCAGCTCAGAGGAAAGCAATGGGAAGACTACCTGAAAACAGGAAAACAAACACTGCCTGCACAAGCTTTACTGGAGAACCTTCATGTAAAAACTTCATTTCAGAAAAATAAAAGGCCCAGAAGCTCTATCTTGGAACAAATTTAGCACAATGACACGCAACGATCATTCTTTTGCGGACTATCTAGAATGGGGACTCATAAACTTTTTGGAGTTTTGGTTTTTTTGTTGTTTTGGGGGGTTTTTTTTGCTTTCCTTCTCTGATCCGCAGCTACCCTCTAGAAGTACAAAGGCAATTCGCGCTCATTCATTCTCGATTTCCTGCGACGCTGGGGGGGGG